GCCTCTTCCTACTGCCAACTCACCCGGGTGGTGTAACCTTCAGTTTTCCAGCTGTGATATTTTCTTTCCTTCTGACAAATGTTACAGAAATAAATTCTGTAGTACACGCAAAGCGTCATGCCACTGTGATGAAAGGGACGGGGGTGGGGCAGATTTTGGAAGTCTTGACAGACAGTAAATTTACTTTTATAACTATACCTCTTGAAAGGTTGGTTTGTTTTTTTTTTTTCATGAAACTTATGGCTCCTGTAATTTTGGGGCATTGGTACAGTTGTTCAGTTAGGAATTCATTAGGCCATGAATCCTTTTGCCTGCACTGACCTTTCTTTGGAGGCTTCTATTTCTGACCTCACGAATGACGCCTTGGGTGAGACATGACAAGCTGATAAGTTGTGATGATGAGTTTGTGGTTGCCCACTGGTCTTGGTGTGATGTGTGGTTGCGTGTGTTCATGCCCCAGTGTTTACCAAAAACTTTGTTTACGACTCATACCTAGGAGCAGATACTTGATTTTGACATTTATTTCAAAACAGGTCTGCAGACTGAAGAGGAAACACAGATAGCTGGACTGAGAGAAAAAATGGGTAAAGCAGGGCTGTGTTGGTACGATGCCTTTGTTGTTTTGGAGACTGGTTTTTTTTCATTAGCTACACCAACAAGTGTGCACACAGGAAGCTGGTTTGCTTTTTATGTCATCACCTTTGTGCAGAGTTGAGAAGTTAAACTTATCTGGGGTATTAAGCTGCGGTATGCTGTATTGACCCAGCTACAGTGAGTGTTCAAGCACAGAACGGCAGCTTTACATTCTCATCACTTTGTAGCATCCTACACGAGTGTGGAAGAAAGAGAAAAAGATAGAATCATAGAATCATAGAATTGTCTAGGTTGGAAGAGACCCTTGGGATCATCGAGTCCAACCATCTTCCCTACTCTACAAAGTTCTCCTCTACACCATATCCCCCAACACAAGATCTAAACGGCTCTTAAACACATCCAGGGATGGTGACTCAACCACCTCCCTGGGCAGCCTATTCCAATGCCCGACCACTCTTTCTGTGAAAAATTCTTTCCTAATGTTCAGTTTAAAATACTAAGTACTAAGATACTTCTAAAAAATCTGATCTATTTAGGGAAACGACACTAGCACTTTGTTTTGTGAAGACAGGAGGGAAACCCAGGAGACTTTGGCTCTGGTCATGCTGCAGCTGAGTCAGTGACAGCTGTAATCATTCACTTGATTGATGCAGCAGGACTATTTTTTATCTCCAGGTATTTTCCCATTGGTCAATAGAAACATCTCCCTAAGTGATTCTTTGAAATCAGATAAATATGTTTTCTTCCGCTGCTTGCTTTTTTGTTTGTAGCTGGTACGTCAAAATGGTTGTTTGACTGGAATCAGCATGCAAACAACTCATCTTTATATACAGCTGGCTTGCATTTCCAGTGGAGCTACTGCAGCAGACACACTTGGCAGTCTTTAACACTATTACTTCACTGGCTTTTTATTTAAAGAAAGAAAGAAGTGTCATACACCTTAATGTACTCTGTTACAGAGAGTACATAGGCAGTATCTGTAGAACTACCTAGCTCAAGAGGTGTGTCTGAGCATAAGTGACAGGGACAATGCCTGTGTTAAAGCGACTGACTTATGATGCCAGCAGGACAGCATTTTCCCAGAGGTCACGATTATGTTACAGATCAAGAATAGCCTAAAACGAGGACCCTGATCATGTGAGCATCCTTATGGCTAAGGGAACCCCTACTAGACGCACTGTAATATGCGTAAGGGCTTGTAGGGTCAGCGCCTCAGTTTGCCATAGCTCTGCCTCAGAGAAAACACATAGAGCTTGTCCCTTGGCTGATTTTTATGAAATAATAAAAGTAGCCAGATTATAAAAGCTTCTAGCATCCTGTTGCTAGGCATTTAGTGCCCACTGATGTACGAGCCTATTTGCATTAGTGCATAGGTACCTTTAAATTTTAACCTCAAGTCTCTTTCAATAATCTAACTTTCTTCAGATTTTTATCTTATCTGGATTCTTTTTTTTTTTTTTTAATGTAGCAATGACTTGAGGACTCCTTCCAATGTATTTTTGAAACTACAAGATGAAATCCCCTGCATGCCTGCTAAGCTTAATAAAAAATTGTAGGTGGTAAAAAATATTATTCAGTGAATGAAATGTACTGAACGTAAAAAGCCAGCAGACAAACTCTGGATGCTGCAAGTTAAACCCTCGTGACTGATGTTATTGCAGTACCTCCTGCATGACTTACTAAGAATTAGGCCATTAAGTTTACCATGTTAATGAAACTTAAGGATTGAGAAGGCCATAATGAAATATGGGCTAAACTCTCTCAAACCAAAACTTTTGTCAAATCTAAAGGCAGTGTATGTCCAGTACCAGAGCAACCAAACTGCTGTGCAAATAAAGATGGCAGAATGTGATTCTTTAAAAATAATGACCATGTTCCAAGAAAATTCCTGGATTATCCTAAAAAGGATGGAGGTGGGATGCAGTATTTCTACAAATCACGTCCATTAGATGTCAGTGCCAATGAACTCTAAAATCATTCTCCAGAATGCTGTCTGTATATGTTTTCTGAAATCTAAGCCTGACATTGATACACGTAGTAAACCTTGGTGATTTCCATGGATACTCTGGACTGAGCTGACTCAAAGCAGTGTGGTGAGCTCATCCCATCTCCAGGAGCTAAATCCCCTTCAGTAATGATGTGGCAAAAAAGTTCATGAGTGGACGCCTTGCCACAGGCCAAAAATTCCACAGTACTCAGCAATTAAACAAGAAGAAACACAAGTTTAGAAAACAATTTTATTAGACAAATTATTTAGACAAATTATACACAGAAAGCTCTGCCACTTGTAACTGAGGCCTCCAAAAAGTGTTTTGTATATTTGTATAATAGGCAACACATCAAAATAGGCCTATTTTAAATATCGTACATGGTTAACAGGTTTCTTTTAATAGCTAAAATCACTGCAACATCTGGTATGTCCCTACGTAGCTTGTTGGAAAGAAATATTCTTTTTTTTTTTATTATTTTACTCAGAAGTGTGGATGAGTTCATGAATGTTACAAGGAGGAAGCAAGTTGTGCATGCTTTTAGACACTTGCTACCCTGGAAACAAAATGGCCTTTTGCACGATAAGAATTTGTTCTGCCTTACACAGTAGACAATATTTGAAGATTTAGTACAAAAAACAGTGACAGTACAAGATGCTCCCCCAGAACAGAATTAGCATCAAAATAGAATAGATCTGAAGAATATACCTTTTAATTTATCCTAAAGCAAATCACATAGGCTGATTCCTATTAATTCTAGCCAAAGAATGAGTTAGGTTAAAATAGGTGTATGATTGCATTAAAAACAAAACCAAACCAAAAAACCTCACAGGATAAACTGCTTGCTTTCTACTTAACCGCATTTTTAGTTTTAAGGATTACAAATTGAAAGCTCTTCCTACGTTTCTAACAGGTAACAGTGTTACTTTAAAAAGCTGATGCCAAAGTGGGCACTGGTTTTGCTCTCACTGCTGTTCTTTCTCTTGTTCTATACAGTTGGCACTAATGTAAAAAATACATAGCTCCTCTAAATCTAACTTAACATATAAAGGGTTAAAATGAGCGCCTGTTCATATTTTTTTTTTCCTTAGAACAACACATGAATATAATTAAGGCCACATCCGTATTTCTCGAGGGCTTTTTTTTTTCCTTTACTAACACCATTATTGTATCGAACAACTGTACTGATTTGGAGAATAATTTATTGACCTTTGACCTATGTTTAATCTTCTCTAGAGCTATATTAGTCGTTCATGAACGTGGTATACCTAAGAGAGAGTTCCATTTGTCTAATTAATTAAAAGTAAAATTATCAAGGTTAGCCTTATAGAATGCTCAATAGCCAATGCAAAACCTAACCAAAGGAGTTACATCTAGGTACAAACATTAAATTGCCCCAGATGTTCTAATAAAAAAGTATAAAATATGCTCTGTTGGCAAACGATGCAAGTCAGAATAACATTAAAGCAACCTGTCTTTTCTAAATGAAAAGACCCCCTGCACTGTACATCTTTCCTGTATACAACACATTTTTACTAAAGCTTTATTAAATGAATTGCAATGCAACGGCTGCCATAGCTATATATACATGTATATATATATACATACATGTGTATATATGTATATATATATGTATGAGATACTAATTTATTTAACACAACAGAGGCTTCTGCCATATGATACAGTTTACTGTACATAAGAAAAACTTTTAACACTGTACAATCACATAAAGGTCATATGCACTGTTGCAGTGCAAAAGTAGATTTAACTGTAGTCTTCACTGGCATAGTAATGGCTTTTTGTAGTCCTACAAAATTGCATTCTTGTATTACGGGGCCTGATCGATCTTTAAACTTCATTTGTTTTGTGTTCATTTTTTTCCTTTTTTTTTTTTTTCTTTTGCCTTTTTTTTTTTTAATTTTTTCGTTTTTTTAAACTGCAGGGTTTGCCTTTGGTCCACAGTTAAAAGGACACACAGCAGTGGAGCACTGACTGGATGCAGCAGAATACATGAAAAGGACTTAAGTTATTGCAATTATAGTAAAAAAAGGTGGTGTAGGAGGAGGAGCAAATGCCCTTCTGTAAAGCAATCCTCAGGGTTTTTCTATGCATGAATTGCTGCGCATTTCCTATATTTAAAGTATATGAAAAGCTTGAAGTAACCGAAACCTAACATGGTGATAAACCGAGAATAAGTGATTCAAGTAGTAAAGAGAATAAGGGGAGACAGAGGAGACCAGACTGAGAAAGCAGAGAAGAGAAGGAGGAAGAGTTGTTACTAATAATCCTGATTCTTAAATAAAATTAAAAAAAAAAAAAAAGGAAAAAACCTGAACAGAAAATAACTCCCAAACAAAATAAAAAACACCACAACACACCTCAAAACCCAAAAAAATAAGGAAAAGAAAAAAGGTTACATCCATGTTAGTCCCACAATATTACAGCTGCTCCTTGCAAAGGGAGTCCTAAAAAAGGAACAGTGAAGAAACTTGGTCTGATGCTCAGATGGAGGTGCCTCGGTCTGGGTCACTACCAATATTCAGCCCCAGAGTAGGAGTTGGTTGGTAAGGGATAGATGACATTGTTTTGATGGGGCTTCTGAAGAAGCCACCGTTGGGTGCCCTGTGCCTGAAAGGGCCAGTTCGGTGGTCGGGCACGCTGCCGAAGGAGAAACCCGAAGCAGCTTTAGCAGACAGCGTGCGGCTCAGAGTCTGGATCTGTTCTGGTATGAAGGTGGTTGTGGTGATGTGAGTGTTTCTGAAGTCACTGATTTGCTCCAGTGCCTGACGTGTGGGTAAAGTGTCAATGTCCAGTGGGGTCAAGTCAATTGACGACGTGGAGAACTGTTTATGAGGACTGTCGTCGTCTGTACAGAGGCTGTTCACGCGCCTGTGGAGATGCTCCAGGTCGATCTCCTTGTCGTCCTGGGGAATGAAAAAAACAAGAGGCACCACTCACCATTGCCATTTGTGCTGGGTTGAAGCTTCACAGTGCTATCAGAACTGCTAGGGAAGCACAACGCCCAATTAACTACAGCTGGCTGTTGACTGATGGCATCTCTGAATGTCACCAGCAAACACCTCCCCAGCCTGAAGCGGGGTGGGTAAACCAAACGGAGGCAGACCCTTACACCACAGCTACCCTCAAACCCTGAATCCGAACAACAAATCTCCAAGAGCTACTGGTTGATTTTTGTCAGGAAAAGCCAGGCTCGGAGTTAGGTGGGTTGGACTAGCAAGAGCTGAACAGCAGTAAACTTTGTGCCATGAAAGCAAAGAATAATCTCAAACACCTGGGACGATGCCAGTTCTTCATCTCTGCAATGAGGACTAAATTTGAATGTCAACATGGGTGGCTCTGAGGGATCAGGTTGCCATCTTTGTCATCCTCTCAGGGCTCGAGAAAGGGCTAAAAACATCTCAGGTTGCTTTTTGCCTTTGTAATACAAATTCTGGCATAGAAAGGCTGCACTTCCAGACAAAAATCCAAGCACTGGTGACTCACTCACATCACACAGAAAGGAGTACATCAGGCAATTTTAAATTACAGTGCCAAAAGAGGGATTCATCCTCCCCTTACCTACAAAGAAGCAATTCCATTGATTCTGATGGAATTACCCTCTTGTGGGTGAGAAGAAGAGAAGGCGGCCTGGGGCATTTATTAGAATATATCATCCCTCCTCTTACCTCTGTCCCTTTTCCTTCTTAAATCTCTCCTCCCAGAGAGAGTTAAACAGTTTGTTTGTTTGTTTGTTATAATCGAGAATTTAAATGCATGGCAATTAAAAAAACCAGGAGAAAGTCCTGGGTGACACAATAAATCACCAGTATTGTACATAGATATTTCTACTGAACTGCAAAGCTTAATTCAAAGCAACATTAAGTATACACGTACAGGGGTATTCCCTCAGTCTAGGTAGCGCAGCTCATTCAGAACAAAAATCGATTTCAACTAACCTTAAAATTTACCTTAATCTTTGTGAAATCTACTGGCTCTTCCAGGCCGCTAGAAATATCTCACACTCTAGGACCTCACAGAGGATAATTAGGCAGCCGATAGATGTGCACTGATGACTTCCAGCCTTGATTACTGCAATTCAATGACTGGCTTGATCCAGAGCTCCCTGAATCAATGGCAAAACTCCTAGTATACCAAATGGGCTTGAGATCCCTCCTTTGTCTAGGAATGAAGTCAAGCACTCTGAAAAAGTCCACACCTAGAACAAACTGCACGAGTTCATCTACTTAGCAAAATGGATCACCAAATATTTGCACTGGTACCACGCCGAACGCAGAGCCTGACTGGAAGGAAGCTGAGAGGCCAGCTCCCCTCCGGGATTTTACTCTCCGAGGGCAGGGACAGGGAGACAAACTGGGCGGAAAGGGGCAGGGAACGGGGTACAGGGATCTCCCAGGGACTGGACGATCACTGACCAGAGGCTTTGGTTTGAGTTCATCACGAGAGGGAAAGAATGCAGCGCTCATTTCTTGGACTTAGCTTTCTATCTATAGTTTATTCACATGTGGACATAGACATGGATGCACATTACAACCACACAGGTGACACCAAAACCAAACGCATTCACCAAACGCTCTCTCCTAAAAACTTTGGAGCTGCATATGGATGCAGGAGAACTGGGGCCACATCGGAAGCTAAAGAAATACACAGAGGCTCTGTTAGCGTGTGCAAGTCATGACTATGTCTCTGAGGTACAGTCCTAAATATTTTTCTTTTTTTTTTGGTTGGTTTTTTTTTGTTTGTTTGTTTTTAATTTTGAAAAAAACATACAAACACTTTGTAATTGAAAATGTCAATCGAGAAAAGATTGGAATTTCATCACTTCTGAGCCTCTATAAGTTACTCAAAATATTCCTCTTTCTTCTCTTACAGAGATGCATTTGGGGCTAGGGTCAGACCAGTGAAAATATATAAGCGGTGATACTCTCCCATGCTTAGCCCACAACCCGATCTCCACCCAATCGATACACCAAAATGAGACCCACTCACAGTAAGATTGTGCATATCTCCATAATATGATCTTTCCTCTTCTCTCTTGTGTGATCAGTAGTGAAATATTCAGCAGTTTTCACATTTAAATTATCATCAGGCTTCAGAGTCAACATCCCATTGAGATTACTGGGGCAGTTCATACTTCTCTCAGAGCTACCGTTTAAGGCTGTCTGCAGACTCAGGCAGACATCATTGAATGGGTTACTTCTGGTACGCGACTGAAATGTTATCTTCGCAACCATAAGACAATTTTTTTCAGTATAAATGCTTGCATTCTGGAGCACAAGATGGCAGCCACCAGGAAAAAGGGTTGGCTTGCTGACCACAAACTGGCCCAATCTGACCCCCGACTCTGGACTAGTGGCCTGGAAGAGCCAATGGATTTCATGGAAGCTAAAATGAATTTTAAGAAAGTTAGTTAAGATGTATTTCTTTGCTGAATGACCCCCACATCCAGGACAGTGGGGACATTCAGCACATACGTCCGCGTTAAACTCAATTTTGAGCCAAGCTTTTCAATTTAGTGTTGAGACGCAATTTTAAATGCCCACGCAATTTTAATGCCATGCAATTTTAATGACCACGTAACAAAGATCAAGGAGGCCAAATTATACCGTTTGTGGAAAGTATACACTTGAATTTCTCTGCATTTGAAAATTGAAATTGGAAATTTTGTAGTTATATAAAAAATCCATGTTTTTTTTTTTTATGTTTTGCACCAGATAAATATGAGGTATGAAGTTCTGGAAGTTTGGGTAAACAACAATCAAGTACATTTTAGGTTTTTAAAATAATTTACCAGTTGAAACTATATGGTTTCCATTCCTGAGAAACCGAATTTAAAGACTAGAGATTCTTTGTTTTCTTTTAATAATGGTCCGGTCCAGATCTTGAACAAAAAAAAAAAGCTTGGGAATTAAAACAGGCAAGAAAAGATTAAACGTATTCTAACATCAGTGCCAATGCTGTCTAATTAGGTAGCGTAATTAATCCTGCCTGATTACACAGCACTAGATTAGCAGAAATAAACACAATGGAGAAACTGCAGAGAAGGTGAGACCACTGCACACAAATTAACATCAATACCCCACAAGCTACACAGATGTGTCTAAGCTACACAGATAGAAAAGCTCTAATTGATAGTGCTACATTAAAGCTCATATTTAGGTTCAGCTTTGGGCATCGCTGCCAAGTAAATTTCAATAACTTTTTTTTCCCCCCCTAATGTTTTCCTAGTATTTTGTAGAGTTAAAGACTTAATTATGAAGGTAAGAAATTTGTTGTAGGACCACATAAGGCTCAGATGGCTGATGAAGGGACAGGTAGATCGCCACGGAAAGAAAAGCATTACACACGCACGTGTAGAAGCAAACTCATGTCTGATGTAAAATCACAAATCTCCCCGTGGTCTCCATCCAAGATTTTCTGAAACAAGCCTGCAGTAGATTTCAGAAGTCTGACCTTAATCTGAAAAATCTAATGTACTCTTGGACTTCACATTAAACAACAAGAACTGAAGTTCATGGAAGTCTCAAGAGGTTAACATTTCTGAAAATGGGAACACGCGTATTTAAGAAGCTAACTGCTGATTAAAGGGCTAAACTTTGCAAATCTATTTTGAAAGACTCAGCCACTGAGCTTAGGGGATATATTTTTCAAGAAGAAGCCAAGAAACCTTTGAACTTACTGGTGAGAATTAGCTCTCACCAGTGGGAATAATGAACTAAATATTGATGTATTAATAATGTACTATTCTACAAGTAATAGTTGTGTTTTACTCAGAATAGTTGCATATTTATACATCATCAGTATACTCTTTTTTTTCATTCAAGCTTTTCTAGAAAGAATAGCTAAAGAGATTTTTTGAGAAACAACATTTACCTTAAAAATATTAGGAAGCTAAGGAAATTTTTCTGAATTTGATCCCCCACCCTCTCTAACGCTATAAAGTCAAGGCAGCAATCTTTACGGTGCATGAAAATTCCCCAGGAGAAATGGAGGGTCTAATACCTCTTTTGATGGAACCCGGGAGCCTTTCCTTTTATTCCACCACGTTTCCAACATTGCAATGAAACAGGATAGGACAATCCCAGCAGCGAGGATGCAGAAAACACCTGCAAAACTTTTTATGTCCAGGGCACCTCCTTTCTGTTTGGTATCCACAGATGAGTAAAGGTCACATTGACTGTTCTTTGGCCACCACTTATGCTTCAGTATGTCCATGTCGCCATTCTGCTGCAGCTCCAAAATCCTTGAGGAGAAAGCACAGAGTCAGGGGTTACAGTGGGGCAGCAGAGGTGGCACCTGAGAGCATGAGGATACAATCCGACTACTTGCAACCTTCCCACGTGTCTTGGAAAGCCAAGCAGCTGATGAATCCAGGCAGACTGATTTAGCTAAAAAAGAAAGCCAGAATATGGGGTTGCCTGTAAGACTGAGCACATGGATATATCTATGCTCTGCCCTAGATACAGGAAAGCACATACAAGTCTTTCTTTCCTTCTTTTAAGACCCTTAATGAAAGTTCCATACTTAAGATACCATATTTTCTTAACTAGCTTTCACTACAGACTATGTCAATTGATTTTTGTAGTGCATTAGGTATTTGGCAATATGTATTTTGCATTTTAATCGCTGGAGAAGAGACATTTCAATAAAAAAAGGAAAATACAGTTCAGACGTAGCACAGGATACACGTTACCTTATTGTAAACTGATCTTTATCAGGTTACCTACTTGCTGCTATGGAGAAGGAGCAGAACCATATTAGTTGCAGTCAGTAAAGACCTAATCTTGCTCAATGGGAGCGTGTGACCTGCTGGTAAGCGATTTCCATAGGAAGGTTCTTTGCTGCAAAATTCACTTGTCCTTGCACCTATGTACCCAGCCCACCGACAAAGATTTACTGGGCAACTTGCAAGGCCAACGTATTTAGCTAGACTTCCTATGGGATGAACAGTTTGAGAAACGAGAATTTTGTTTGGAAGAAGACTTTCATATTTAGTTAATTTATTACTGAGGAGAGTGTTTTTTTTGTTTTTTTGTTTGTTTTTTTTTCTTTTAAAAACGTCCAGAAATTACTAGAGTAGCAGCAGGGTGCATCTGGTTAACCAAAATAAAAAATTCAACGATTACACTTACAAAGAATAAAACAGGGGGAATGTTTTCCTTCATGTAATAAATTTGTTTTTCATTTCAGTGTTGGAAGGCAAACAATTACTTGTGCAATCATTTGACACAGCATGCAAAAAATCCAAGTGCACACAAACCAGCAGAGGCCTGGGATGTTGCTACCAGAGACTGTGCTGTGTTGAAGGGGGAAGAAAAGCTCTCCCACTGACTCGGGACTACCATAACAGCTCCATGCAGTGGTCTACTTCAACCTCAGAAAAATACAGTACTATGAAAGGGAGTGTGAATGCACCTCAGAAGCAGAGGGCAACTGCTCTACACAGCTGAAGGAACTGAGGTTGTTTAGCCTGGAGAAAAGGAGGCTCAGGGGAGACCTGATGACTCTACAACTACCTAAAAGGAGGTTGTAGAGAGGTGGGAGTCAGTCTCTTCTCCCATGTAACAAGCAATAGGACAAGAGGAAATGTCCTCAAGTTACGCCAGGGGAGGGTTAGGATGGATATAAGGGAAAATTTCTTCACCGAAAGGGTTATCAAACATTGGAACAGGCTGCCCAGGGAAGTGGTTGAATCACCGTCCCTGGAGGGATTTAAAAGACATGCAGATGCGATGCTTAGAGACATGGTTTAGTGGTGGTTTTGGCAGTGTTAGGTTGATGGCTGGACTCAATGATCTTAAAGGTCCCTTCCAACCCAGACAATTCTATGATGTCTAATGCCACTTGAACATGTAGTCATGTTAATAAAGCCACTAAATTTTCTATGGCACATCCAAACAACCCTATACTTACATTGTGGTCCTACCAGGAACGGGAGACTTCACAGAGCCACCAGTGGTTTAAACCCCAGCACAGCTCTGGAGTGAGTTTCTGCTTCCTACCTGGTAGTATGTCCCGTGGCTGAGATCCTGACCTGTTCAGAAGGGAACTGCTTGTCTACCTCTGTGCTGTACCAAGGGAACAGTGCCCTTGAGAAACAGATTGCAGGTGATACACGTGCCTTTGGAGATGCCAAAATCACCTGGTTTGCATAGCTTTGTGTTTATAAGAAGTGGGACAAATTCTGCTCAATGCCTTCAGACAGTACATCACTGAAGGTCTAGTGCTGAGTGGCTAACAAGGTCAGAGTTGCCTGGGCTATATTTTGAATTGTCCCAAACCCGATGCCACCTTAGAGAAGCCCCATCCCAAAGCTTCCTGAGGGGGCAGGAATAAGTCGTGTATGGGAGGACTCTCCATTCTGTTGCAAAAGACAGAATAGCTGTTATGACATATCCATGTTCAGAGGAGCTTTAGAGGCATGAGGACCCCACACAGGATTGCTGTCGTTGTTGCTTACAGCTGCCTATTGGGAGCACGTAGAGAAGCTGGAGCCAGATCCAGTGACAGGAAGAGGTGTAACTGGGACAAGCTGGAACATGAGCAATTCCAAGTAGATTAAAGGAAAATGGGAGAGGTCAAACACTAGAACAAAGAATTTGCCGTATCTCCATCCTTGGTGATGCTCAAAGGCCCACCGGGCAAGGCCCAGAACAACGTAAGTGGACCCACTTCGAGCAGAGGGCTGGGCTGAAGACCTCCGGAGGTCCTTCCCCACCATAATTATGCCTCTACAATTGCAAACACAATCCATATGCTGCTCTCTATGATAGCATACAGTGCTTACAGACGTAACTCACTCTAATTCTGGTTCTCGCTGCACTATGATCCTGCATTAGGACTTACGTGAGTATTTTGGCTCAAATATTCCAGTCTGTCAGGTTAGCAGGAGCAGCAGATAGTCATCATAAATGGAACCCTTTTGTATAAGTTCTTGTGGAGTAATAGATTTACTGCGTCCAGCACTGGAGCCCCCAACATAGGAAAGACACGGACCTGTTGGAGTAGGTCCAGAGGAGGGCCACAAAGATGATCAGAGAACTGGAGCACCTCTCCTGTGAAGACAGGCTGAGAGAGTTGGGGTTGTTCAGCCTGGAGAAGAGAAGGTACCAGGAAGACCTGATAGCGGCCTTCCAGTACCCAAAGGGGGCCTACAGGAGAGCTGGGGAGGGACTTTTTCCAAAGGCATGTAGCAATAGGACACAGGGGAATGGCTTTAAACGGGAAAAGGGCAGATTTAGATTAGATATCAGGAAGAAATTTTTCACTGAGGGTGGTGAGGCACTGGAACAGGTTTCCCAGAGAAGCTGTGGAAGCTCCATCCCTGGAGATGTTCAAGGCCAGGCTGGATGGGGCTTTGAGCAACCTGGTCTAGTGGGAGGTGTTCCTGCCTATGGTACGGGGGTCAGAACTCGATGATCTTCAAGGTCCCTTCCAACCTAAACCATTCTATGGCTCTATGATTAATTTTCGATGCCCAAGCCAAAGAGTTGGCATAGGTGTTTTTATATTTAGGAATTGCTGTACTATCTACACAAGGCAGTAACAGAACAACATTGGGGGGCTTATTTCTTCCATCAGCAGCTCTAATCCCTGAGTAGGGCTATTTTCTCTCTTTTATTCAGTCAGTAATAGAATGAACCATCCAAATGATTGCTCTGTTCTCATTAATTAAATGATTCTTCACTTGTCAGTATAATTCCTGATTACACAAGACATCTTTTCAACAATAGGCATTTGCATAAAGACACTGAACTTTAGCTTGTTCCTTAACAGAGATTTATTCCTAATTGTACTACTGCTAATTATTGGCAATTTTCTTTATGGATGTAACATAAGTTCAATTATTTAAAGGAAAACATAAAAAAGAAGCAGAAACCAGGGATAGTAATTGCATCATTACATGGAAAAGCTTGAGAAACGGAAGGCTTATAATGAAACCTTGTAAAACTGCAGCTGAAAACATATGTTGAGAGCTAAAATACATATCAAGAGAAATTATAAGAGCATGAATATCTAACTATATTAACTTATACAGAGATCCCGCTTCTATTAGACTTAGTTAATTCACCCATTTGTAGAAACAAAATAGTAGTTAACTTATTAAGTAGATTTAACCCTACCAGCCTGTCCCGAGAGATGAAACTTCCTATTTTTGTGGGACATTTTCAGAAATGAAAATCGTACTTTTCTTGAAATTCCATGAAAAACAACACGAGGAGGGCAGGTTTCGTGCAAGTGTGCGCGGCACGCAGGCACCGCTATACTTGTGTGCCGCCAGAGCTTCCCACACGATGACTTTTTCCATAAAAATACGGGCTTTCGGGGCAGCTCCTGGTGGGTGCCCTTACACAATCTAATCGTACCTGCCGGGTGGCAGACGCTACAATCAGTTTGATATTTGATTTTCAAATTTAATAAATGACTAAAGTAATAATGCATTAATTAAATGCCCTGAATGATAATGATGCACTAACTGCTATAATCCCAGCAAGTGCCTCTTCTTGCAAGTCCCAGATTTTTATGACCGAACTTTTCCTCGACACTCATGGCTCCTTTGAGCCTGCTGTATTGCCACACAGTAGTATTACAACACATAAACCAGTAGTAAGAGTGGTGGAAACTAGTAAGTAGGGTGCATGAATTGCTGCTGTTTTGAAATACCAGTCTTAAAAAGCTTGCAAAAGAAGCCTATATATTGAAATAATCTGATTTGTCTTGAAAAACATGACCTTTAAAACTTGCTTATGGATAGAGTGCAGGTCTTAATATATTTTTCTCTAGGAGGCATGTTATGGTAACATTTTTCATGGCAATGATGTAAAATTACTAAACTGCACAAAAGAAAATGTCTGCATGCACTTTAACCAATTTCACCCCGAATTTATAGTGCCAAGCAATGTCTAGTGGATATAAAGACAGAAGACTGAACTGCCTTTGGTTTCCAAATCTGACAGTGATGTGAACAAATCCTACTGCATCAATAGGAATAGGGCTGGTTTCAACTTGGCAACTACATACTTTGCTGCTGGCAGTGAAATGTAGTTACTCTTGCAAAATACCTAGAGACAAAATAACTCCAAACTTATTATGATAGCAAGGTGTCACAAATGCTCCGAAATTGAGACATCTGTGACAACACATTTTTCGATTGATCTCGTTTTATTCTGAGTTATCAGTAGCAAGCAAGAGACACAACAGGCCAAGATCAGAAACGCCAATGCACAGTCTGAGATGTCAAAG